ATTGGCTCGTGAGGGACTAGCGACTGGTGCGGCAAGAGCAATGCTGCCCCCGCGGGGGGGGGCCAGCTGCACTGCACCCACTTCCAGGGTACCCTGCGGCCCTGCTTGGCTTTCACAAAGTGTCCCTCCTCCCAGGCTGGAGTGGGGGGCTGAATGAAAGCTCTCGGGGGCACGCAGCCAGCCCACGGCTTTAGTTGCAGCTCGGTCCTGTTTACCTGCTAAGACCGGATCAGCCCTCCTGAGCCAGGACCATGCACAAGGCCCGTGCCCAGCCCTTCTCGCCACACACTTCCCTGGCCCTGGTCATGCAGCATCGATGGTTTTGTACCCTCCCCACAGTCTGGTGAGAGCGAGCCCTGGCCTGGGTCCCAGCTCACTCCGCGGGTCAGCCCCGGCCCCTGTGCAGCCTCGCTCACCTCCCTTGTGCCTAGAGCCCCATCTGTTCAGTGAGAGCAGCCTCCACCCCTGCGAATTGGCTGGAGCCGAAGACATCCACGTCTGGGTGCTTGGCCAGGGTCTCATGGAGGCCAGGTCTGGCTGGGCTCAGCCAGCCGCTCACCAAAGGCCTGGGAGCAGCAGCCAGAGGCATTGAACTGTTACGCCAGGACTGCCTCTGGCTGGTTGTCCTAATGGCTTTATGATCAGGACCTCCATGTGAGCACGGCAAGCGACAGGGGCCACCCCAGCACGCTTAGCCCTTGGTACCAGACCCCCAGAGCTGAGCCTGGGACCCAGTAGAGGCCTGCGCGTGACACGAGCCAAGAACAGGGTACATGCCAGGCTGGGGGGAGGGAGCCCTCACCTGCGCAGAAGCCAGCATTGACCCAGCCCGGCGTGGGAGGCTGGCGCCATCGCCGCGCAGCCCCCGGACAGCAGCCAGCAAGCCGGGCGTGTGGGGCAGGGAGCACGAGACGCATGCCCCCTCCCACGACTGTGCTGGCCATCAGCCCCACTGAGCGCCGCTCTCGGGACCTGCCTGTTGTGCTCAGCCTGGCTCAGCTGCAAGTGCTGGAGCTCACAGGCCCAGGCCTCTAATGAAAGCAGAGGGAACGTTTCAGCCCCTCCTGTGCGTGAGCTTGGCACTTCCTGAACTCCCTTTCAGCCCCATCATGGGCTGCTTGGGAGCTGCAGCAGGAGCAACAAGCCCTCTGGTGCTCAGCCGGGAAGTGTTTGGGACCCAGGCCTGCCCCCCAGTGTCTTCTTGTCACTCCCTTGGCAGGGTGCGAGGCCAGCGGGATGGGCAGCAGAGGCTGGTAGCACGTGCAGGCCCATGGCTGCAGCAAGCCAATCCATGGAGTTTATGCAGAACCCTGACTTGCTCTTTTGGGGTCTCTCCCAGCCCGCACCCCTCTGCCTGTCTGGAGTCCGGCTGCCCAGGGGTCAGGCCAGGGAAACAGGTAGGGCTCTGTCTGGCTGTGGGAGATCCTCCAAGAGCTCTGGCTCCCACCACACCTCCCCTGAGAAAGGAGGAAGCTGCGTAGCTCTTGCTTGTGTTCCCAGCAGCCCTTGCAGCGTGAGGCCTGACCCCCTTGGGGACTATGTTTCCCTGGTACGTGAGTGCGGAGCTGGGCCCGGCGTCCGAGCTGTGTCTCAGGGGCACGGGCGTGCTGGGACCACGTCCTCTCTCCCAAGGGCCTGCTGGAACGAGGCAGAGCAGCCTCAGAAGGCCCTGCTGGGTGCGTGCAGGCAGACTTCTGAGGGTAGCTGTGGGCTTGCTGGGGACAGGGTTTCCTTTCCGAGACCGTTTTCTTCTTGGCGGCTTTGTGCTGCGAGCCAGAGAGCTAGACATGGGCTTTTAAAAATGGAAGCTGGGCTCGCAGGGTAGTCACATGAGTCCAGGAGCTGTGGCTTAAAGCCCAGCAAACTCAAGAGACATGCAGGGTGGGGCCCACAACGCATGCCCATCCTTCTGGGTGACACTCTCCACCTGCCATGCCTGCCGCAGGGAGGGCTGGCACTTGAGCTCCCATCTCTGGGGCTATTGGGGCTTATGGTGCAGGCAGGAGATGGGCTCCCTGCCCCCTTCTGTGTGCTCCTGCTCCAGCCAGAGCCCCCCACTCTGGGGACTATGCAAGGCCGCAGGGCCCAGGCTCAGGGCGTGAGAAAAGGGCACAGCTCAGAGACTTTGCTGGATGTTTGTTCTCCTCCAGCTGTTCCACGTCCCCTCTCCCTCCTGCTCCCACAGCCCTGTCCCTTCCCGCAGCCTTAGGGAAAATGGAGCCTGGGCCAACTTGCATTTTGGTGCCTCTTTCCCCCATGGACATTGTGCCTCCGTTATCCTTGGCCTCCATGGGTTCCCCACCCAGCCCCCAGCCCCCCAATCCCTGCAAGAGCGAACTGCCTGGATGCATGGAGCAATTGGCATTGTCTCTGCCCCTTGAAGGCTGCTCCAGTGTGCACCCCTAGGAGCCTGGGGGCGCAGCAGGGCTGCCAGGGCAGGGCAGGGCAGGGGAGCAG